CCCCAACCCCCTACTCCCCTCACATACACACACAAACACTTCCCACCTTGTCCTCTGCTAATACAAAACTCTTGGTGGAATGATCTCAGCAAGATCTCAAAGCCCATCTGTTTGGGTGATCAGATCACCACACTTCTGGGAGTACCGTGTCTCTGCCATGGGATACACAGTTTCTTTAGAAAGCTGACAGTCCACCAGGCTCCAACCACTTCCTTCTGTTACATAGCTGTCTGAGGGCACCATCAATAAATTGCTGGTTAAAAGAAAACAACGACAAGCCTTTTCCATGGAGAACAGGGTTTGTTCACTCAATTATTTCCTAAAGTTGTGCCCTCCTTCCCAGCTTGACACTATAATTTTTGAGGCAATAGCACCAAGTCTGTTTGTTGTGGTCCTCCACACCCACAAAGCCACAGTTCACCTGCCACATGAGCACAGCAAAATTTTAGACCAATCTATATCCTCCTGGCAGTGGAATTAGTCAAGTAATGACCACTCCATTGTTAATTAAGGGACTGCTTTGTTAAAATGATTTACCAGGGTGACTCTAAATTGGCTGTATTATTTTGCCAGTCTAACTTCTCTTTGTGTAGAAAATTTTGTTGACTGCTCTTAACTGCTACAAAGCTTTGATAGGAATCACCAGTAACCTAATTTTAATTGACAACACTTTTTGAAGTTCAAGATACAACTTAAATTTAGGATAAAAATGGTACTCAGAAAATGAGTCATCATAATTTTCCTAAACTGATATAGAACTGCAAAAGAGAAAGTTTAATTTACTTCCAAAGTCATTTTTTACCCATACAGAAGTCATTTTTTCCCAGACAGAAGGAGTTAAGAAAGGAGGAGTGGGCTGGGAGACCATTTCTCTCACCTAACAGCTTGGAAATAGTTGACATTTGATAGCATTGTCTCTTTGAGATTTGTAACCCTCTACTAGAATTACATGTCCCTTCGGAAATACCTCCTTTTTTAATCACTTGGGAAAACATTAACTTTGTCCCTTTGAGTATCCTCACTACCATCAAGGAAGTTGGTCCTTTTTTTTCCTTCTTTCAGAAACAAAAGTGGCCATTTTTCTTTTAACAAACAGGGTAGAGGCTGGCAAGGGGACAGGAGGACGCAGCGCATTGTGAAGACCTTTAATGCTACTGCTTCCTGCCAGCCACCATCAGGAGAAGGACTGCTCCAAAGCTTTCTCCCCAACTGACTTCCAGTCTATTTTGGAACAGAGGACAGCTTTCTGTCATACACACACACATACACATACACACAAATCAACCAGCTGCAGAGCGAGCAACAGGAGGTGGCGGGATGCTTGCCACTGTGGCCCTAGATTTGCAAGCATCCTCGCCAGCCCTAGCCAAAGCTAGTTATTCCCTGGGCTAAAGCCAAACTGAGAACTTGGGGACCCTGCCAAAGCTTGACAGCCCCTAAGCCTGGCTCTGATGCCAAATCGACACAGGAAAGTCATTAATTCTTTAAATAAAAGTTCAGTAAACGACTGTGGAGTCTGCTATTTGTTCAGCAGTAGGCTAGATGGATAGAGAATATCTAGGCATTCACTTTAAGGAATCTAGAATATATGAGGGAGAAGAATAAAGACATGCACTCTTTCAAAAGTTAAATAACATCACAAGAGGTGCCACTCAAAGCAGTATGTAAGTAAATGCCAAAGGATCTTTCAGAAAAGGGAGCTTTCGGAGGGTCAGTTGCCATGTTTAGAGAAAGAAAGACATTGTGATGGAGTGGAGTGAGCCTGAAACTTGGAGCCAGACAGACTGGGTGTAGATCTTCATTGTGTGTTACTGGCAAGTTCCTCACCCTCTTTGGACCTCAGTTTCCTTACCTACAGAGTACACATGATGGTACCTGCCTTGCGGAGTTGTTGAGGTTATATGAGGTCAATTGCACACAGCAAGACTCAGTAAATGTTTGAAGTTTGTATGTTAAGAAAGCAACGGAGTAGTTGAGAATAGAAATTTAGGTAGGGTTGGCCCAGGAAAAAATAAGCGAAAATCTTGGAAAGCAAAGTACTGGAAAAGGGAATTATTAATGGAAAAAATCATTGTCTATAGTGGATAGTTTAGGAAGTGGAAAGGGATAATTGAGGCTTTTCTTTTTTATTTCTTTTATTAAAAATTTTCCCTTCACCCAATTCAATACTTGTGTCTTACCTATCTAGCAATTTTCCCTATTTTATTTCTAGCATAATGTTTATTTTTTTTCTTAGATGATGAAAATGTATCATTTCTATTATAGAAAATTTGGGAAGCATAGAACAGCACAACAACAGAAGAAAGTAAAGTAAGAAAATAATGTCATAATCCTGCACCCAATGAAAATCCTTATAAATATTTTGATTTTCCTTCCAGTCTTTTCCTGATGCACATTTTAACTAACTGAGATCACACTGTACATACTTTTTGAATCTTGCTTTTTGCACTCACCATTCATAAGCATTTTCCCATGTCATTACAATTTTTTCACAAACACTATTTCTCAAGGACACATGGAATTCCATCTGTAGATGTACCAAAATCTTCTCAACTATTCCACTAGCAGTGGCCATTTAGGGATGTTCAAACATTTCACTGTTATAGATAATGCTTCTGTGAATACATTTGTGTCATAAATCCTATTCCCTTCAGAGAAGTTCCGACAGAATCACTGTTCTAAGATTCCTGCTAAATACAGCCAAACTGCTTTCCAGAGAGGTTAAAGAAAACTGGCTTTATCAAATCCTGAAACTGAATATTATCTTTGAAAAGTTTTGCCCAATTTGATGGTCACAAAATAGCACTTCATTGTTCTTTTAATTATCTTGCTTCCTTTTAGCAGATATGCGTAAAAGGGCCCTCAGATAAACAAAGGAGCTTCTTTTTGTCTGCAAACAATCAACAAATATTGATTGTGCCAACCATTTTACCCCTGATTTGTCCTCTCTCCCTTTTGGGAAAAGGTTGGAAGATTCAGACTTTCACATTTTAGCCACAGCGAAGGAAGGAATTTTGAGGGGAACTGCAGGTAACATACAGGGTCAAAAAATATTGATTTGGCCACTACCAAGTTAAAGAAACTCACAGTCTGAAATGCCAGTTCTTCCTGGATGCCTGCCATACCTAGTTTAAGAAAACTTGAAGGTCTTCAAGTTCAAATGTTTTAAAAACTGTAAAACTGCTTTGAAAAGAATTTTTTTAAAAATTTTACATAATGAATATTATGATTTTATCTATATGTCCTGAATTGGCAGCCTCTGAGAATCCCACCTCCTGTCCCCAATATCAGCTTTCCCAAATCATCCATGACACAGCGGAGTAGACGGGACCTTCACAAACACTGGGCAACAGGATCAGAAAAAGGAGACATGGTTTTATTGGGGAGGGGGGTGGAAGGGATATGTTAGGGTCCATTCTGGACAAATCCTCTCCTTGGCTGTCATGGGTCTGGAGGTGTGTAGGGTCCGCGACACTTCGCAGCCGTAGCTCCCCAAGGCCAACGCTGGCACCTCGGTTCCTGCTGTCACGCCGGCAGTCACTCCGCCTGCCGTCTCACCATTTCCCCGCCCAGCCTCTTACTTGCCACTCGCTCCCGGGCCCCACCCAGGTCCGGCGCGCCAGCGGGAAGTGACCAGAGGCTGGAAAGCACTGTCGGGGCACCCAATACTTACAGTTTAAACACCCAAGCCTCCTCCCACCACCACCACCACCATCGCCTCGTTCAGCTCTTTCACCTCATTTATCACCCGTGCCAACGTTTGTCTTCCACCAAGAGTCCTGGAAGACGCCACATGTTTGGTCAGGTCAGGATACAAGCGTGGCTTCATCCCTGATATTTTATCCCTCCGGCCTGTTACCTCTGGGTGCATGTCTTTATCCCCACCATCTAGAATAAAGCCTGGCAAGCAATTGGCCCTCAGTAAATGTTGAATAATTTCATCTGTTAATAGTAACGCCATCCCACGGGGTTGTGAGAATGAATGAATGATGATGTGAAAGTACCTTGTGATCTGTTACAGAACTAGTATTCACTACATATCTTATTGTAAAGCATACTTTTGTAATTTCTAAAAAAAAAGAAAAGTGCTACTCATGAACAACAACAACATTGACATTCCTAAGGAGCCTTGGTGTAGCAATGGTTAAGCACTCGGCTGCAAACTGAAAGGTTGGAGGTTCCAAGCCACCAGCAGCAGAAGAAAAGACCTGGCAATTTACTCCGTTAAAGACTGCAGCCTAGGAAGCCTTATGGAGCAGTTGTATAGGGTCACCTTGCATAGGAATGGACTGGAAGACACAAAATAATATTGACATTCCTGCCAGGAATGCAAATCTATTTCTACATCACCTCTTTTCTTCTCCCTCTTCAAATTCTACCTTCTTCTGATAATGTTTTCTGATTGCCAACACTTGACCTTGGTACTGTGAACGTGTACATATATACAGTTGTGCTCCAAAGTAAGGATCTTTACTCATCTCCTAAATTGAAGAAATCTGATGAAAGTGCTTGTCATGGAGTCATACGCTTTGGCCCCTCTTTCCAGCACTGCCACCTACTGGTTGGGTTACTCCGGTAAGTCTCTTTCCCTCTCTGGGCCTCAGTATCTCCATGTGCAGAATTCCCAGATCTGGAATTCCACCCACGGGAGCAAAGATGGATGCGCCACTCAGGGACACGTTTCTGACCCGCCCTTCCCACCTCCCTCCAGGTGCACCCCACTTTCTCAAGTTTGGAGACGCCTCCCAGCAGCCCTTCCACCCACCTACCCCCAACCCCCGCCCTTCCGGGAGTCCGAATTTGACCGGAGCTGAGCGGCAGACGCTCTGGGACTTCCCAGGTCTACTCCTCCCGAGTCACGCACCCCTCTACCCCTCCTCCGCGTCTGTCCCTCTCCTCCCTACCCCGCCTCCCTCTCCCCGCCCCTCCCACCCGCCCGCCTGTGCGACGCATGCGCCGCCGGCTTAGCGTGTTTTCATAAAAGTCCAGCTTCGGCCACAAACTTCAGTTTGTTAGCTAAGGCAGCTGGTGGTAAAGTCACCCTGAGGACTTGGGTTCTCCGGTAGCCACCGCGGCTTGAAGAGCAAGCGGGTACCATGGACGGGATCAGTGTAAGTCCACTTTCAACCTGCATTTTCTTAAACGTACAAATGCATGAACTTAGAACGCAGCCCCTCTCCGAGCAAGCAGAAGCAATCCTAACGTAGGAGGTGCCGGTTCTTGGGAGAGGGGGAGAGACATTGAAAGGAGTTTTCGTGGGCAGGGCTGCACCGGAGGGAAGAGTTGGAATCTTTTTCTCTGTAAGTAGAGAAGGAAAGATTGGAACGGCCATTCCGGTGACTGCATGTGTCTCCCCCTTGAGTCCCGCGCGCGCACCGGACTTGCACTCTGTTTGAAAACATAGAAAATTCTGTCTGTGCACAAGTGCGGAGAAGGGACCCACGCTGCACCGAGACCCAGTTCCTGGTCAAGGGAGGATTTCTTGAAGAGAGTTAAAATACATAAAGTTAGAGGCAGAGCTGAGTTCCTAGAGGGATGCTGTGCGACGCCAGATTGATTTTGAGCAAAGGCGCCTGGGACCGCTCTGGACTTCTGGAGCTTGTTTGCTTAACTCTGAATGGCGGGCAGAGGTGTGCCAGTCCTTAGTCACAGTGGCAAATGATGGGGACGACTCAGGCGAGCGCATCGCTCTTAGTGGGAAGAACATTAGTTAAGTGTCTGAGAGCAGACCGCGCGCCTTGGGATTGAAGAGGAGACCTGGACGTCCGGAGCTCACCCCCTCTTCCCTGCTACAGGGTGGGCCCCAGGGCTCGAGAGTTTTGAGATGTTGCAGAGGTCGAAGGGATATGAGCTGGCACCGCGCAGCAGCGCCTGGAGGTGCGCGCGGCCGGGGAAGCGGAGAGTATTGGGAGGTCACCTGAGTTTGTTCAGTCGTCGTCGCGCAGACGGGCAGGTGCTTGCGGGAAGACAGTTTGGCTCCCTCAGAGCCCGACTGCGCCGTTTAACCGTCGGTGGTTTCCTGGAGCCTTTGAAACCCACTGGCTCTAGTGAGGCTTTTCGTTTCCTCCCGTGGCGCGCAATTCAAAGTTTCTCAGGGTGGAACCGCCCAGTCGTTCCCCAGCACCCTGCGGGTCTGAGCCCGCGGTGCAGCTGCAGGAACCCCTGGAGCCGCTGCCTACCAGCGGTTGGTCTTCGCACCGTGGGCGCCTAGATAGCCTGGGGTTGGAAGACTGGCTGAGCCCCCCCCCCCCCCGCCTGTCCACATCCTGTAGCCTTCCAGCTGTCAAACTCCGACCCCATAAGCTGAATCAGTGGTGGGGTTGAAGGGACCCTGGAGAGTGAGGAAATGAAACTTAGGGCGAGGACCATGGGTCCGAAACCCCGTGACCTTCTCCACCAGGAAAATGCCGCGCCTCATTAACGTCTCAAAAGCGCCAAGTGATAAACATAGGTATGGCAATGTCGACTCACACCTCGGAGGGCTGAGGAGTGGAGATACCGATTTACTCCCTACTTAAACACACGCCCAGAGCTCCAAGCACCCCAAGTTCCTTTGCTTTAAGGCGGCATTCTCCTTCCCCACCACATGTTGCTTGGAGTACAGAATGCTTTGTATTTAGACAAGCGTGGGGAAAAACGGTTTTGTGCCTTAGGGGATAAAGAATCTTGCCCCCCTCCCTCCCGTACTCCTCCAGCTTCTTTTGTCTTTGCCGGAGAATCTTCGTATAGAATGCTAATCCCAGACACTAGATTCTACCCCCACTCTCGCGCAGCCTGGGAGTGGCCTCTTTGTATTTGTTTTTTTTCTCCCATGATTTTTTTTTTGTCTTTCCTCTAGTGGGCAGGGCCGAAGAGTTAGCAAAGATGGGGCATTGAAACCTCAGAATCTCTCAGCGCACTTTTGTTCTAAACAAAGAACTTTGTAATTGGTTCTACTCAAGAGGGATGAAGTGATTGGGGGTAGCTGGGTTGTAACATTCTATAATACTACTAGCATTCCTAAACGAAGTCTAGACTGACTTGCTTTTTGTAAATTGCTTTTGTAAATCCCGGAAACGTTTTTCTAACTTGCCTGATGAACTTGGAAGTAAATGGCCTTTTCTTTGCCTCTTTGCAGCTCATCACTATAGATAATGACACGGAGGAAGTGGGCTCAGGTGACTATGACTCCATCAAGGAACCCTGCTTCAGGGAAGAAAACGCCAATTTCAACCGATTCTTCCTGCCCACCATCTACTCCATCATTTTTTTGACTGGCATAGTGGGTAATGGATTGGTCATCCTGGTAATGGGTTACCAGAAGAAACTGAGAAGCATGACTGACAAGTATAGGCTGCACCTGTCAGTGGCGGACCTCCTCTTTGTTCTCACACTTCCCTTCTGGGCAGTTGATGCTGTGGCAGGCTGGTACTTTGGGAAGTTCCTATGCAAGGCAGTCCACGTCATCTACACGGTCAACCTCTACAGCAGTGTCCTCATCCTGGCTTTCATCAGTCTGGACCGGTACCTAGCCATCGTCCACGCCACCAACAGTCAGAGGCCAAGGAAGCTGTTGGCTGAAAAGGTGGTTTATGTTGGCGTCTGGATACCCGCCCTTCTGTTGACTATTCCTGATTTCATCTTCGCTAATGTCAGTAAATCGGATGAGAAATATATCTGTGACCGCTTCTACCCCAATGACTTGTGGGTGGTTGTGTTCCAGTTTCAGCACATCATGGTTGGCCTCATCCTTCCAGGGATTGTCATCCTGTCCTGCTATTGCATTATCATCTCCAAACTGTCACACTCCAAGGGCCACCAGAAGCGCAAGGCTCTCAAGACCACAGTCATTCTCATCCTGGCTTTCTTCGCCTGCTGGCTGCCCTACTACATTGGGATCAGCATCGATTCCTTCATCCTCCTGGAAATCATCAACCGAGGCTGTGAGTTTGAGAATACAGTGCACAAGTTGATTTCCATCACTGAGGCCCTCGCCTTTTTCCACTGTTGCCTGAATCCTATCCTCTATGCCTTCCTTGGGGCCAAATTTAAAACCTCTGCACAGCATGCACTGACCTCTGTGAGCAGAGGGTCCAGCCTCAAGATCCTCTCAAAAGGAAAGCGAGGTGGACATTCTTCTGTTTCAACTGAATCTGAATCTTCAAGTTTTCATTCCAGCTAACACTGATTTAAAAGACTTTTTAAAATACTATACAGAACTTTTTTTTAAGTTACACATTTTTCATATATAAAAGACTGACCAATGCTGTACAGTTTTTATTGACTGTTGGATTTTATCTTGTGTTTTTTAGTTGTTGTGAGGTTTAATTGACTTATTTATATGAGTATTTTTTGTTTCATGTTGATGAGCGTCTAGGCGGGACCTGTGGCCAAATTCTTAGTTGCTGTGTATCTGACTATAGGACTGTAGTAAAGGAAACTGAACATTCCAGAGTGTGTAGTGAATCACATTAAGCTAGCAGTGATTCTTAGCTGTTTGTACATAAATAATCTCTCTACTCCAGTGGAACTTTTTTTTTTCCTGTTGATACATTGTTTGGTTATACTATGTGATTTTTCTGTAGAAGATGGCACTTATACCCAAAGCCTCAAGTGGTATATAAATGGTGGTTTTTCAGTTTTCAGGAGTAAGTTGATTTTAGAATCTACAATGTACAGTCTTTGTATTAAGTTGGTAATAAAAGTACATGATAAACTTACTTGGTGTTATGTTCTCATTTCTACTGATTTTCCTTTGACTGTGAGAAAACAAAAATAACAATAATAGAAATATTTATAATATGTCAGGTACTGTCTAAGTACTTTAATTGTAATATTTAATGCCCATCACAACTCTATGATAGATTCTGGTTCTATTATTACTTAACATGTTATAGATGAGGAAATAGGCACGGAAAGCCTAAGTTACTTGGTCAAAGTCATGCTAGTGACGGAGACGGTATTTGAAACCAGGTTATGTGACTTCAGAATCTAATACTTCAACGACTCTCAAATGGAAATTTAGAAATGTCCAGTTAGCACCCATTCCTATAGAAGACAGTTTTCATTCAGGATTTAATGTGTGTAAAGAACAACAGATACACAATACAAAGGTTAGATTTTACTACTACTATTCCCAGGTATAGGGAGCTCTGGTAGCGTAGTGCCTAAGGCACTTGACTGCTAACCAGAAGGCTGGCGGTTCAAACCCACCAGCCACTCCCCGGAAGGAAGATGGGCAATCTACTTCTGTAGTGATACTGCCTCGGAAACCCAAGGAGGGGTCACTATGAGTTGGGTGCGACTCGACGGTACATAACAACAACAACAACAGCATTCCCAGGTATAAAGCATACCATCTACATTTGGGCCATGTAAGTAATGGACATTTTTCTCATTTACTCCTCAGCTTGTGTTGTTACTAGGTGCTGTCAAGTCGGCTCCAACTCATACAATGAACATCGCCTGATTGTGTGCCATTCTCACAATCCTTGCTATACTTGAGCCCATCATTACAGCCACTGTGTCATCTTGTTTAGGGCCTTCCCTTTTTCACTGACCCTGCGCTTTACCAAGCATGATACCCTTCTCCAGGGAATGATCCCCTCTGACAACATGACCAAAGGTGAGACAGATTCTGGATAATCTTGCTTCCAAGCAGCATTCTCAGCTGCACTTTTTCCAGGACCAATTTGTTTGTTTTGGCAGTCCATGGTATTTTCAGTATTCTTAGCCAACACCGCAATTCAAAATACCATGGCTTGGGTTAGGTGCACCTTACTTAGTCTTAAAAGTGACTAAGATGAAAACTAAAGTCCTCAGCACATAGACACCCCCTTTCCACAGTTAAGGAAACAGGTTCAAAGATTTTAACTTGCCCAGGGTCTCACATATTCTCCAGAAGCTGATTTAATTTCTTATTCCCTGCTCTTGCTAGTAACCATTACCCACTACTGTTCCCCAGAACACCTGGTCATAAATCAACTGAACTGTTACTGAAAATAATGCCAAAAGTGAATGTTTTCTTCACAAAATTAACCATGCCCAAAATAAATAAGAGTTCTTGCAACATCTTCTATGCAAATGAATACTTTTATTCTTAATCTATTCCAATACCTAGCACCTCCTCAAGTGTTCAGTGAAGCAGCTACAAGTTAATATTGGCACCTTTAGAGTTCAGAAGAACGGTGCAAAGAAGCAAGCTCCACGTTGCCCTGATTTTGCACAAGATTTTGGAATCTTGTGTAATATCACTCATAGCTATTTACATTATCATTGTGCAAGCTCCAGGTTCTTGAGCAAATTTCAGCTCCAGTCTCCATTTACAGATAATTTCTAAATGTGCTACCCATACGTAACCTCACTTTGGAACACAAACAGGGCACTCCCAGCATGCACTCAAAGATAATCACCAGGATATAATGAAGGCAGTATTTGGGCTACTTTTAGTAATTGTTTCTGGCACAGAAAATCCATTTTGGAGGAAAAATTGCAATGTCTTATCTTTCTGAGGCAAATCACATTTGTTCAAGGCAAATTATAGATCCTGTGAAGGGAAATAACTTAATTACTTAAAATAGAATCCAATTTGGCTGTACATTTTGCTGCAGTCTATGGATCTGGTATAATTCAGAGTAGTAGTCCTATTCCACTTGAGAATACAATTAGATTTCAGATAGGAAATTATCTTGAGGTTCTTGGTTTTCCCTGGGAGCCTAATTAGATCACCCTTCATTCAAACATAGTTTTACATGTACTCTCTCAAAGGCTTAGACTTAAAGCATTGACCATTGTAAAAGACTTCACTTGAACTTTCTCTATAAATATTTATTCTCAAGGAGACAATAGGAGAAATTCTTGGGATGAATTCTTTCTCTTTCTCATCTTGGCTGGAAAACTCATTGCCCCAGATTCCTCTCCCTATGTCGTGGAGTCACAACAAAAGGAATTGAGCAGAAACAAAATTCCCAGTGTCACCAATCTTCATGGAGATTTTATTCTCCTGTGAAACAAAGGTGGTATATCTTTTTTGTGCAAAAAAAAAAAAAAAGCCTCATCTCGTGTCTCTCTCTCTCTCTCTCTCTCTCTCTGTCCGCCCCAAAAGGCTGCCCCCTAATCATTCTCTTTCCCGACCCTGTCGTGTTTTGAGCTGCTCCAAAGCCTTCCCTGTATCGTGGTTTGTCTGACAATGTGAAGAAACCCAGTCTGCTGGCTAGCCCTTGCATGAAGTAGCTAATTGTTCCCTTTCCTCATCTCTTATGAATGGGGCCCTTGAAGGTCAGTAATGCAGATCCAGTTGTATAATAGGAGCTAAAATATTTAAATTGTATGCATGCTGCCAATAATGGCAGAAATATCACATCTGAGTTACAATGACATTAAGCCTGAAACTCAACAGCAAAGTGGACATTTTTATCCTGCAAAGCATTTGTTTTACTAAACCGTCAGTTGGCATTTCACCTCCCCCTACCATGGACTTTCTAGTCCCTTTTATGGCTACGTTTGTGTTAAAATAACAATTCTGGGGTGCTCTTTTAGGAGGATGCCTTACAGACTTTATTTAAATAATGAATCTAAGTGTGCATGACTTTTTCCTAGCTTATTGTTAGATCTTTAGTAAAGATTCCACAAACAAAATTAGATTATTATTATTCCCACGTCAGATTACCTCCAAAAATCATCCAGGCAGCCTCCAATGCTTAGAACTATGGTGTTGCAGACTGCATTGTGGAGATGTGCTCAGCTTTCTTGGAAGGGGGCTTCCCATCTGGCTGCCAATGTGGCTTGGCCGGGCAGTGCTGGAAAGATCTGTAAGGAGTTGGATGAATGACTGTCACTGACTACCCATAAGAGAGAGATTGGCTATTCTGGGCCATAAAGAAGTCAGAAAGAATCCTTGTAAGGCCATGGTTCTCAACCAGGGATGATTTTGCTTCTCAGGGATATTTGGCCAATTCTGGAAACATTTGGGTCTTCAAACTTGAGGGAGGGGATGAGGTGCTACTAGCATCCAGTGAGTAGAGGCCAGGATGCTGCTAAAGATAATAAAGGCACAGGACAACCCCCACAAGAAAGAATTATCTAGCCTAAAATGTCAGTAGTGCTCAAGACTGAGAAACCTTTTTTTAAAGTGAGGATCATGGGGCAAAAGTACTGTTAAAGCAAGGATACAACCAACCAACCTGATTCTATGAAATAGCATGAATCATGGGGAATTCGGTATCATCCAACATGGTCCCAAAGTTTCCCTTTAGCCTCCTTTAATCTGTTGCTTTTGAGTCAACTCCAACTTATGGTGATCCATGTGTGTCAGAGTATACCTGTGCTCCATAGTGTTTTCAGTGGCTGATTTTTCAAAAGTACATCAGGGAAAAGACATGAATAGACACTTCACCAAAGAGGATATTCAAGCGGCCAACAAACATATGAAGAAATGCTCACTATCATTAGCCATTGTTGTTGTTGTTGTTATGTGCCGTCGAGTCAAACCCGACTCATAGTGACCCTTTCTTGGGTTTCCGAGGCAGTATCACTACGGAAGTAGGATTGCCCAACCTTCCTTCCGAGGAGTGGCTGGTGGGTTTGAACTGCCAGCCTTCTGGTTAGCAGTCAAGTGCCTTAGGCACTATGCTACCAGAGCTCCTGGATTAGTCATTAGAGAGATGCAAATCAAAACAACAATGAGACACCATCTTGCCCCAGCACTAGTAGCAAAGTTCAACAAGACAGAAAATAACAAATACTGGTGAGGATGTGGAGAGATTGGGACTCTCATACACTGTTGGTGGGACTGTAAAATGATACAACCACTGCGGAAAGCACTATGGTGATTCATTAAAAAGCTGGAATTAGAAATACCATCCGACCCAGCCATTCCATTACTAGGTATATATCCTAAAGAAGTGAGAGCCAGGACAAGAACAGATATATGCACATCCATGTTCATCACAGCACTATTTACAATAGCCAAAAGATGGAAACAACCTAGGTGTCCATCAACTGAAGAATGGATAACCTAATTATGGGATACTATGCAACCCTAAAGAATAACATAGAATCTGCAAAACACCACATAACTTAGATGAACTTGAAGGACATTATGCTGAGTGAAATAAGTCAATCACAGAAGTACAAATATTGTATTAGTCTGTTATTGTAAAAAGTCAAGGAAAGGTTTATATATGGAAGGAAATTTTCTTTGTTGGTTACCAGGGGTGGGAGGAAAGGGAAGGTAACAGTTAGATAAGTAGAGACAATTATTGATTTGGGTGAAGAGAAGGGCAATGTACCAAATGTAAGTGATCAACACAGTAACATTGAGGAAGAGGAAGACAGAGAGAGGTACATGGGAAGTACAGACAACAAAGATAAACCCTTTTGCACATACAGTACTGCATTGTCAGTGAAGGCAAACACGGATATACGGGTAGATAAATGGGTAGACAGGCTGAACTATTAGGTATGTCTATGCTGGGGGGAGTGTGCCCAAGTCCATGTATAGGGTTGGCAGACAATGTTTCTACAAGTGTATTCGTATGTTCTATAAGAATTCCCAGGTATATAGTAGAGCTGACAAGGGACAAGGTTCTTGGCCACAGCCAGCTACCCAGAGGGAGCAAGCAGTTGGACCTGTGGGCTCGGGACCATAGTTGCAGGGGACATCAAGCTCAATTGGCATAACGTACTACACAAAACATTGTTCCACATCCTACTTTGGCGA